ACAAGGACCATCTATGATGTAATATTCTTAAATAAAAACATTTTTTAATTAAATTTTGTTTTATTTATTTATATTTTAATATATATAAATAATATATATATATACTCCCCCCAAGGACGAGTTTTTTAACTAGCAACTGACGGTCCCCTGGGGTCTACGACACGAAAGAAAGTTTGGGAACCTCTGGGTTAGTTGAATGGCCGATTGGATGTGTACGTGTTTGTTTGTTTATTTTGACAGATGTCAAATAAAATTGTCAGTGTAGGAGTGAGCAGGTGAGTGGACATCGAACAACGTTCAATCATCGATAGAGGTAGTAGAGTGAGTGTGAGTAAAGTGGAGAAAGAGAGAGAAAAAGCAGAATGGGAAATGTCGAGTCGTCGGCGTTGAAATGCTGAAGGCTCAGTAAAAATAATAAATGAACCGTGTTAGCGCGGTGCGTGCGACCGATGACCGTTTTTTGGGAACGTGTTCTGATTTCAGCTGCTCCTATGATGCCTTGTTGGAAGAGCGGCAGCAACAGGAGGCAACAAGGAGGAGGCACTTGGACACTATACGCGCCCATCTCGCTGACTATCAAGAAAATTGTGAGCATCATCTTATATATAAACCATCATCATCAACAGCATCATCGTTTTTTTCATGTACTTATTATTAGCAAAACAAGTTCTCATTGGATCGATACTCGTCGGTGACGCTGTACAAGATGGTGGAGGAACGCGTCTCGAACATGAACACCACAACTCTGATGGTGGGCACCAACTTCAAGGTGGGCAAGAAGATCGGAAGCGGTAATTTCGGGGAGCTGAGACTGGGAAAGAACGTCTTCACGAACGAGCACGTTGCCATCAAACTGGAGCCGATGAAGACGAAAGCGCCCCAACTTCATCTCGAGTACAGGTTCTACAAGATGCTGGGAGCTCGGGACGGTAGCTAATCAATCTTAATGTAACCACTATTAATTTGTGACCGAAACTCGACGTTGGACACAACAGGAGTACCGAAGGTCTACCATATGGGCGTTTGCGGCGGCAGATACAATGCGCTCGTGATGGAACTGCTCGGTCCGAGTTTGGAGGATCTCTTCAACCTGTGCAACCGTCACTTTCGGCTGAAGACGGTGCTGATGATCGCCGATCAGACTTTGGAGAGGATCGAGTACGTGCACAACAGACGTTTAATATACAGGGACATCAAGCCGGAGAACTTTCTGATCGGACGCAGCAGGAACAACAAGGACAAGGTCGTCTACATCATCGATTTCGGTTTGGCCAAAGAGTACATCGACAAGGAGAAGAACAAGCATATACCTTATAGAGAGCACAAATCGCTCACAGGTAATAATCATCATCATCATCATCATCGTATGATAGAAATTTATTTGATTTTGTTAGGAACCGCAAGATATATGAGCGTAAACACGCACTTGGGACGTGAGCAATCACGACGCGACGATTTGGAGGCTCTGGGACACATGTACATGTACTTTTTGAGAGGATCGTTGCCGTGGCAGGGTTTAAAAGCGGACACCCTCAAGGAGAGGTAAGATGATGATGATGATGATAATAGAGAGTGTTCTGCAACAAGTGTTCTCTTGTGTCGTTCGTGCAAAGGTATCAAAAGATCGGCGACACTAAACGGACGACACCGATCGAGACTCTGTGCGAGGGTCATCCCGAGGAGATGGTCACCTACATGAAGTACGTGCGGAAACTGGACTTCTTCGAGACTCCCGATTACGATTATTGCCGACGTTTGTTCAAGGATCTCTTCGAGAGGCGCGGTTACACCGACGACGGCGTCTTCGATTGGTCCGGTCTGTACTCATCCACCGGAGACGACTAGTGCGCACTCACCTTTTATTATTTGTAAATAAAGTATAAACTATTGACTAATCGACTCATTTTTTTTTTACATCCTGCAACGTTATTTTCTTTTTAGTGGATGCGCCGCGTTCCCTCTTCCTGTTTTCTAAAGAAAAACTATATTATCTTAAAAAAAAATGCATTCAATCTCTCATTTGGTAATGCTTATATAGAAGTGTAATTTGTAATCTATTAATTATGGCTGTAATTCAAGCAGTGTTTTCACATTTCATCGCGTTGCTATCCCCAAATGTCCAACTATCATATGCATCCATTGGATCCCTTCTCTGTATTCTGAGAAAATCACTAGAATGTCAAAACACTGCTTTATATATATATATTTATTTGTAAATCAATGAAATGTGAAAACACTGTTTTTTTAACGTTTTCTCAAATTTAAAGCACTGAATTACAGGCAAATGGAAGAAACCACAACAATTTATACTCGCTACATTCTCTAAACATCCAACTTTCATATGAAACTTTTGAATCAATTCAATCTATTATTACTTCAGAGTAAATCAATGAAATGTGAAAACACTGCTTTTTTTAAACGTTTTTTCAAATTTAAACGCAAATTACTTCTATCTATTATAGTTTTTGAGAAAAACGGCTAAAACCACAGTAATATATGAATAATGTTAATTCCCCAAACATTCAGCTTTCATATACATGTTTTGGATTCATTCTATCTATTATAGTTTTCGAGAAAATCA